CTACAGTGTGAGATCCAGGACAGGCAGTGCTATGTAGAGAGACTCTGTCTCAGAAGGAAAATGGAGGAACTAGTACATGCTGAGCATCTAGTATGGTAGATACCACATGCAGTGCTTAGCATGCTGTCCACTCCCTCCAAGAAGTCACTTTGTCACCCTAGTTCATACATAAGAAGACAGAAGCAGAGAAAGACTGGAGGATTTGCTTAAAAAGAAAATAGAGGAAAGGAAGTATACAAAGTCAGACCCCAGACCAGGATCCCCTCACTGTGCCTGGGGACTGTAGAAGCCATACTAGCAAACATCCTGGCCACAACCTAATCAAAGACTTTCCGGTCCCTTGCCGGGCGGTGGTAGCACACGCCTTTAATCCCAGCACTCGGGAGGCAGAGCCAGGTGGATCTCTGTGAGTTCGAGGCCAGCCTGGACTACAGAGTGAGTTCCAGGAAAGGTGCAAAGCTACACAGAGAAACTCTGTCTCGAAAAACCAAAAAAAAAAAAAAAAAAAAAAAAGAGTATAAAGACTTTCCGGTCCCCCAACAGATCCTGTGTGGTGGCATGGTTTCACCACAGCTTGGTTCTGATTCTCAGCCATATATGTTTAGAAATCCAATCTGCCTTACTAGATATGGCAGTTTACACCTGTAATTCCAGCATTCGGGAAATTAAAGCAGGAGGATTGCTATAAATTTGAGGCCAGCCTGGGACTACAGAATGAGCTCTGTTTCAAAAAAACAACAAAATCCAATCTGTTAACACATAGGCTGTGGATTGTTTCCTAAAGCTGATTCAAAATCCCAGAGGCTAGTACTTAACATCACAATAGCAGTTTATTCATAAAATTATGAATAGATACAGAAGGAGACATATAAGATCAAAACATTCATGTCCCACAACCAGCACTCAGGAAGCCCAATGGCCAAGGTCATTTGATTACAGAGCTGGGAGTCAGAAGCAAAGGAGTCCCTTTTCTCTTTTGCTTCTAGGAAGTCTGTTTTATGTTATAGAAATTGCAGGTCACGACAGAATCAAACTTATTAACCCCCAAGGCATCCATTTACTTGCTTTAAGAACTGAAGAGGTGAAGGTAATCTCTTACTTGTCAGCCCTTGGATAAACACCCTCAATATTTGCTCCGAGACCCTCTCTGCTCCTAGGTCCCTAGGGCTCACCAGCTCTGGTTCTGAATTCTGTATTCTTTTTTTTTTTTTTTTTTTTTTTTGGTTTTTCGAGACAGGGTTTCTCTGTGTAGTTTTGTGCCTTTCCTGGAACTCACTTGGTAGCCCAGGTTGGCCTCGAACTCACAGAGATCCGCCTGGCTCTGCCTCCCGAGTGCTGGGATTAAAGGCGTGCGCCACCACCACCCGGCTGAATTCTGTATTCTTTCTTGAATTGAGATCAATTATTGTCCACATTGCAGCATGATCTTGCTGGCCATGGGGCTATGCTTCCCCTTTACTAACTAAAACCTTGAATACTATACGGATCTATTTTGCACTGACTTTCAGTTTTCTGGGCTTAAAAAGGAAAGTTAGTTCCAGGTTCTTGAGGCTCCAAATCCTGACGGCAGCCTAAGAGACAGGACTGGCTGGTGGGCACTGCTCCTTCATTTCTGAAGGTTTTGCTGGGTGGGCTCCCAAGCATCAGAAACAGAGACTGTCGCCATCAGATTTTTGCCTGTCTACTGAAAACCAAAGGATAACAAACACTGTTTCTGTAGCTACCGAAGAGACAGAGTGCTTGGAGAAAGATTTACATGGCTCTGCAGACTCCCTGGCTGTGCCAGCTCTGGGGGAGTCGCTGCACACAGCAAGAGGCAGCTCTGGGTCTTGGCTCTTGGCCACAGTTCTTGCAGCTACAGCAACAGCAGCAGCTTCTGCTCTCATACAGAGCTTCTAGCATGCTGGGAGTCTCCTGCTGACAACCGGTGAAAGACAAGGCTCCAAGTCCTACCAGCTAAGGCAGCCAGGACTTAAAGGAGAATGGCTGCTGCCAGATCCCTGGAACCAGGTCATGTCAGAGCTTGAAACACAAGGAGAGGATGACCCCCTGCCTGTGTATGTTATATAACACTCTGCACAGTGGGAAAATAGTATAGACAAACCCTTCACCTCTCTTGAACTTTCAGAGTACAGGGAAGATGTAGATTCTGGGGGAGCAGATTTGCTTTGGGTTTTTTTTGTATTCTCTGACAATTTCACATATATGTACATAATGAATTTTGGTCAACTTCATATCCCACTATCCACTGTTTTAAAAATATTTACTTGCATTTATTTAACTAGTCTTATCTATTTAATTTTGAAATAGGGCCTCACTATGTAGCCCTGGCTTCACTGAAACTTATTGTGTAGACTAGGCTGGCCTTGTCTTCGGGTTTATTCTGCTGTGATGAAACACGATGGCCAAAGCAACATGTCATAGTCCATCATGGAAGGTTGAAGTCAGGGTAGAAACTCAAGCAGGAACCTGGAGGCAGGAGCTGAAGTAGAAGCAGAAGCCGTGGAGGAGTGCTGCTTATTGGCTTGCTCCCTCATGGCTTACTCAGCCTGCTTTCTTACAGTGTTTAGGACTACCAGCCCAGGGGTGATACCACCCACAGTGAGCTGGCCCTCCCACATCAATCAACAGTAAAGAAAGTTCCCCATAGGCCAATTGGTGGAGTCATTTTCTCAGTTAAGGACCCCTCTTCTAGCTTGTGTCAAGTTGGCGTAAAACTAACCAGCACAGTCCTCAACTGAACAGGAATTTGCCAGCCTCTGCCTCTGGAGTGCTGGGATAAAAGAAGGGTACCACCACACCTGGCTTTTATTTATTTATTTTTTAATTATAAGTGTGTGCTTGAGCACAGGTCTTCTCAGAAGCCAGAAGGGGTTATTGGAGCCCCTGGAGCAGCTGGAGCTACAGGCTGTTATGAGCTGCCTGATGTGGATGCTGGGAACCCAACTCAGGTTGTCTGCAAGAGCAGCAAGCACTCTTGCAATCTTAACTGCTGAGCCATCCAGCCCTTTCCCCCACCACACACACACACACACACACACAGTCTCATTATGTAGTCTTGGGTGGTCCAGAACTCCCTACGTAGACCAAATTGGCCTCAAACTCACAGAGATCTGTTTGCCTCCGCCTCCTAAATGCTGGGAGTAAAGACATGCAACACCACACTGTATACCATTACCTTCCTTTATCTTTCTCCCAGTCCCTCCTATGTTCAAGTTAAGAGAGAAATGGAGAGACAGAGAGATAGAGAGACAGAGACAGACAGACAGAGAGGGAGAGGGACAGAGAGACACAGAGAGAGAGTGTTTAGGTAGGGTTGCTTTCAAGCACAGTGGGGTGGTTAGCCTGGGCAATTTATCAGTGATTACAGCGCTGGAGAAAATGACTTCCTCCTCTAGCAACCATTAACTGCCAGGAGTCCCTGGGGAGGGACAGGGCCTAGGAGCCTGGGGGAAGCTTTTCCCTGCACTGTTGGGCTCCCACACAGGGCAATGCAGTGGAACCAAAGTCTTGCTGGGGTTGTTCTGTTCTGCTCGGTTTTGCTTTATTGAGGCAGGGTCTCACTACAGAGCTTAGTCCTGCAGAGTGCTGGCCTTATAGCCCTGTGGCACTACTGCCCAGTCAAGCCAGCTGGAAAGACTCTTGGGTAGAAAGAGAGCTCCAGACCACAAGAACACTTGTAGCGAAAGTGGATACACTGAATATACTTGGTGATTCACAGCCTTTTCTCAGAGAGAGCTCTAGACTTTGCTGGGAGGAGCATTCAAACTGTCCTCTTCACTGAAGACCAAGCAGGGGGTCTAAACTGTCAACTCCACTTACTCAAGATAGGGACACATTACCATTTCCTGCCTCTGTCCAACATCCACACACTGGGATGCATGATGCTCCTATCGGTGTTCGAGGGTTAACTAAGTGGGAAGACTTGGCCCCTCTGTGATCCTTCCAAAAGGTTTGTTTTTTCTGAGCATTCCCTACAGTGCACTCCCTTTTGTCTTAATGGGCCCTACCCATTGAGGTAGATTCCAGATCTTTCTCCTATATCTTTGGCTTGGCTCAAGCCTCCAACCCCTCCACAGCATCGCCTCAAAGCAGAGAGATGGCCAAAATAGGCAGTCGGAGAAGAACACGGGCATTCCTATTACATCTGCTCAGTCTCTCGGCAGCCCTGTCAGGGAGCCTCTCAGGGTTACAGGCTTCTTCATTCACAATGTGAGGACGGGGTGAGATACAGAGCAAGGTCCTTCAGAGGCTGTCTGCTGACCACTGAAAAGTCAGAGAGATACGGCGGCCAGATGGGGGTGTTCTGCACAGACTCCTTTTGCTGTGACAGTCTGAACTAGGCTCTGACAACTACGTTCCCCCCGAGACTCTCTACCCTCTCTCTGCTTGTCATTAGCTGTCAGGGGAGTTGTTAATGATTTATTACAGGAAACTACTGTGATCACTTTTGTCCCCTTTGTGGGTGGAGTGGAATAGAGCATGTGCCAGGCCACACCTGCAGAGGTGGGGGTCAGAGGGCGCCCCACAGGAGTCTGATCTTTCTTCCTGCCTTATCAGTCCCGGGATCAAACTCAGGTCGCCAGGCTTTGCAGCCAGCATTTATCCACTGAGCCACCTCGAAGGCCCTTGTCATCGTTTTTTTTTAACAATTAATGAGCTGGCATAGAGGAATGATACATTTTAATACAGCAAGGCAATACTAACAGACTTATTCTGCTAAGGTTTGGCCAATTCATTGATTGATTGATTAAAAAAAACATACTCTTGTTGAGCCCTGGAATGTGTAACGCACAGTTGGATATGAACGGTGAGTGAAGACACGTAAAAAATGAACTCTTGAGCCGGGCGGTGGTGGCGCACGCCTTTAATCCCAGCACTCGGGAGGCAGAGGCAGGCGGATCTCTGTGAGTTCAAGGCCAGCCTGGACTACCAAGTGAGTTCCAGGAAAGGCGCAAAGCTACACAGAGAAACCCTGTCTCAAAAAACCAAAAAAAAAAAAAAAAAAATGAACTCTTGAATTATTTTTGCTTTCCCAGTGCTGAAGATCCTACCCAGGACCTCACATTTGCAAGGCAGGGGTTCCTTCCACCACTGGGCTACACCCTACCCTCTAGAAGGCTGCATTCTGACTAGGACACAGGCGTCCACACAAATCGCTGTACTACCGTGAGGGGGAGGGTAAAGAGGGGCGGGTCAGTGAGAGTCACTCTACCTGGCAAACATGAAGGAGAGCGTTTTCACCTACCCGGCCACCAGGCAGATACCTGGAGATTTCTTGGGGTAGCCTGATTCTCTTTGTGCTTAAGAAGCCAGCACCAAGGGCGATAAAGGCAAAGGGAGCACACAGTAAGCATTAGAAAGTAAATGCTGCAGAAGCTGCTGCGTGCAGCCTAACAGGAGCTCAGAGTTGCGTGCAAGCTCTTCCTTCTCACTTGGGAAAACGGGGTGACTGCCACTCATTTCCTTTTAATAGCCGGAGAAGCCCAAGTTGCGTTTCTCTTCCCTGTTCCTCAGGGCAACTAGTACAAGAACAAACAGGGTTCAGTACCAGGAATAAAGCTGACTCACACTCTCAGGCTTTCTCCCCTTTTAGAACACACTGACTGGAGACCTGGAATGGGATGACATTCATTCTCACAGAGAAGTGAATGAAGCGGCCCGAAGGCAAGAGGTCAGCGGGAAAAGAGGAAAGCAGGAGGTGAAGAGGAGGCCGTGGCTACTGCATTTTTCTGTTCGGATTGGTTTTGGGTCTTGCGAGTTTGAGACAAGGTTTCACTATGCAACAGAGGCTGGCCTTGAACTCTTGATCCTCTTGTCTCTTCCTTCCGAACACTGGAACTACAGGCATGCCCCAGTACTTACTGCACTGTTTTAGGCAAGACCAAGCCTCCTCCTCTTAGAAGAAAGGGTGGTCCTGGGAAGGCCACATTTTAGGCAGAAAGATAGAGATGTGCAGAAATAAGAGCCTTAATGTCCTAGGAGCAGAAAGCTTGTGTTGCTAACACAGACAGCCTTTCTTCTGTGTTGTCTCCGCCTTCTCTTCTATTATTCCTAGTCTTCACTTAGTATTTTGATAGTCATATGCTTGTTTTTATATGGATCCTGTACCACTTGAGGGTAGCAACAGTGACATCTTAGCCGCACCGACAACTAGCTCGGTGACCACTCTTGTTAGGTCACGAGGAATGTTGTTGGATTTGATGTTATAGGAGAACTGGACTTCAAGGGTAAACAGCTGCAAGGTCTGGCAATCCATAGGTCTGGCCAAGAATTTCCACGAGGCAAGCAACAGTTGGCAACGACAGGAGCATTCCACTGAAGTAGAGGAGGGCTGGGTTATGCAATAGTTCTGCAGATGAAGTGGATCTTCTGGAGTGGCTCAGTTCTTTGAAAAGTCATCTAGGATATCATCTTTAGAGACATCACGTACTATGTATCTCCTCCAGGGTTAAAGAGGAAGAGGCACAGTTAGTTTTCGGTGACACGGCATTATGCTACGTAGGGTACACATAGAGGATTTTTTTCTGTCTTTCCTTCCTTCCTCCCTTCCTTCCTTCCTTCCTTTCTTTCTTTCATCTCACTGAGGGGCTGGAGAGACAGCTCAGTTGGAGAGTGCTTGCTGTGAAAACATGAGAACTTGAGTTCAGATCTCCAGAACCGCATTAAAGTCTGGGTGTGGTCACACTTACCTGTAACCCTCTCACTGGGTGGCGGAAGAGTAGAGACAGATGGATCCCAAGAGTTCAGTGGCCAGCTAGTGTCGCCAATTTTGTCAAAAGATAAGGTGAAGAGTGATAGTAAAAGATACTCAGTGTCAACTTCTGGCCTCATATACATGTACACCACACATGTGCGCCGGCGTGTACACTTGTACACACGCACACACAGATCTCAGTGGGGAGTCGGTATGCCTATAGATAAAATAACCAGAAAGTTGAAGTCAGTTACAAATTAAATATTACAATATTGTTATTGAAGATGTCAGGATATCCTAAAAGGCTCATGTGGTAAAGGTTTGGAACCCAGCTAGTGAAGCTTAGTATTGACCGATGTTTGGACTTTGAGGACTCTGACTAGTCTGTGGATTAGAATATTAATGGGTTCATAATTCGATGGCTTTCTCCATGGTAGACATGTTATCAGTGGGCCTAGTTAGAGGAAGCAGGTTACTGGGGTCATGCCTCAGAAAGGACTACTTTTCTCCAGGCATCGTCCTGTCTCTCTTCCTACCTCCTGGCAGCCATGAGGCTGAGCATCTACGCTCTGTCTCTGTCTCCTCTTCCAGCATGGTGTACCTCCATTGCCCTGGATCTGAAAGCTAGAGGGCCACTGACTGGAACCACTGAAACTGTGAGCCAGAGTAACCCCTTCCTCCCTTTAACTGTTTCTCTAAGATATTTGTCACAGAGATTAAATGTCTGATAAGAGTGTCCTTAAGAAGGCTGCCTTGGGCTGGAGAGATGGCTCAGAGGTTAAGAGCACTGACTGCTCTTCCAGAGGTCCTGAGTTCAATTCCCAGCACCCACATGGTGACTCACAGACCATCTGTAATGAGATCTGGCACCCTCTTCTATGTACATAATAAATAAATAAATCCTTAAAAAAGAAGGCAGCCTTAAGATGGGTCTTTGGAGTCCTCAAATCCCATGGAGCTTTGCTCCTTAACTCTATGGGCATTTGAAACATTAAAAAGTCTATTGTTTTCCCCTCCCCCACCTTACCCTCTATTAATTCAAGATAGCATTTATTTGCAGTATAACACAATGTGCCTTTTAGTTCGGATCTATAACCCTAATTTGAATATTAAGCATCATTCTACTTTAAGGACTCCAATTTTTTTTTTCTTCTAGAACACTGTGTAACACCATTTCTGGATGACATGAACAAATGTTCACTGACCCCTGATAGGGAAAGGAGGACAGAACAAAGTAAGGATAACTTTCTGGGACTTTCTGAAGCCATTGGGTTACTTCCTGAGCTTAAAGAGCTTCCTGTCTGATGGACTGTTTGGCCTCCCTCTTAACATCCTATGTCTTAATGGACTTCCCTCCAACATGGAAGCTTTTATTTTATTTTAAGAGTTATTTTATTTATTTATTTGGGTTTTTTTTTTTTTTTTTTTTTTTTTTTTTTTGAGACAGGGATTCTCTGTGTACTTTTGGTGCCTGTCCTGGATCTTGCTCTGTAACCCAGGCTGGCCTCGAACTCACAGAGATCCACCTGCCTCTGCCTCCCAAGTGCTGGGATGAAAGGCGTGCGCCACCACCGCCCGGCGCTTTTATTTTATTTTATTTCATTTTGAGACAGAGATTCTCTGTGTAGCCTCAGATGACCAGAAACTAGCTCCATAGACTAGGTCGGCCTGGAACTCAGAGATCTGCCTGCCTCTGCCTCCGGAGTGCTGGATTAAAGGTGTGCGCTACCAACCGGCTTATTAAAGTGGAAGGTTTTTTTTTTTTTTTTTTTTTTGGTTTTTTTCGAGACAGGGTTTTTCTGTGTAGCTTTGCGCCTTTTCCTGGAACTCACTTGGTAGCCCAGGCTGGCCTCGAACTCACAGAGATCCACCTGGCTCTGCCTCCCGAGTGCTGGGATTAAAGGCGTGCGCCACCACTGCCCGGCTAAAGTGGAAGGTTTTAATCACAGAGGAAAGGGCACACAACAAGAAACATGAAGAGAGAGGTAATTGCTGCAGAAGGTCCATCTCAAAGGCAGTCAGACTTTCGGTGTGTGAGGAGGGAGAGTTCCGCTTTTACCGCTATTTCTGGTACTAGATTTCTGGTCAATGACTTTCCCCAGGAGTAGACTTTTTGTTTGTTTGTTTTAATTTTTTGAGACAAGATTTCTCTATGTAGCTCTGGCTGTCCCGAAACTTGCTCTGTTGACCAGGCTGGCCTCAAAGTCACAGAGCCTCCTGCCTCTGCTTCCTGAGTGATGGGACTAAAGGTGTGTGCCACTATGCCTGACTCTATAGCCAGTATTTTATGGTCACCAACTTTTTGTGTCCATAAATCTTTTTATAAATTGTTAAAGGCCTTTAAGTCAGTATCCTGAATCACGGTAGTTGGTTTGTTGTTGTTGTTGTTTTTCCCATAAGTCTAACCTTTCTGGGCTAGAAAAGCAGCTGAGTTGGTAGACTACCTATTTAGCATTAACACAACCCTGTGCTACACAGTGAGACTCTGTCTCAGAAAAACAGCCTCAGGCCAGGTGGTGGTGGCACACAACTTTAATCCCAGCATTTGGGAGGCAGACAGGATGATCTCTGAGTTCGAGGACAGCCTGGTCTACATAGAGAGTTCCAGAACAGCCAGGGCTACACAGAGAAACCCTGTCTCGAGAAACAAAACAAAATAAAACAAAAAACAAACAAATGAACATAAAAACGGGGAAAAAAATCCCAAAATAACAGCAAAAACAAAAACAGTGGAGACTTGCCTGAGGAAGGCTGCGTTGATGGTATTCTTGATGCATAGATGGCACTGGGCTGAAATATAGATATATTTACTCAGAGACAAAAGTGACTCAGAAGATAGGCTGGCTAGGAAGGCATTTTGAACTACTTCAATTGAGTTATTTCTTTTATATTTTGCTTTTATTAATGCAGAAGCATGATATACGGTAAAAGCCAATGTATATAGGCCTGAGGATATCACTCAGACAGTGTGCACTTAAGCTCCTGGGTTTAATTCCCAGTATTTTTTTAAAAATAAAAATAACAATGTCAATGTGTATAAGTAAGTCTAAACAAGACCTGTCAGTAAAGGCTGAATGACAAGAAAGCCTTCTGTCATCCTTAGCCTGCAATGCCTCCCAGTTTGTGTGTAACACTCAGTGTTCCAGTTTATCCAGTTAGCTCATCTAGATTATCATAATAGACTCGTGGTATTAGTAGCAAAATATTATCTCCAGTTTTACTTACAAGAAAAAAAAAAGGCAAATTAAATACTCTTCCCTAACACCATAGACTCAGGATCTGAATGACTCATGGATCTCTGCC